GAGAGCCTCAGCCAGAACACACTCGGTGGGCCGCCTTGCCGCCTTCCCCTAATTCCTTTTGTTGCGGGGACAAGTCTGATAAAAACTTAATCACCTTATCTTTTTAAAGCAAATTGCATCTTTGTTTACATACGCCATCCATAGCAGGGAAGAGAAGGAGGGAGAAGCAGGAGACACACACAGATGAGAATGCCTGGGATGGGCACAGAGCCGCTCGCCTGCGTGGCACAGGGGAGCATGCACACTAGGCTCCTATCTGCCACCTGCTGTCTTATCCTGCCCCATCCCTCATGAGGTGAGGGCTGTGTCTGTCCTTACTGAGCCACTGTCCCCCTGGATACACTCTTCTACTGTGGCCTCTCAAAGCAACCCAACCCTACACTCGCTCTTTCTTGCCCTGATACTACAGCCCCTCCAAAGCTGCTATGACTGTAGAGGAAGTGCTGAGTGACTGCAGTGACCCCAGCCTCAGGGAGCCACCAAGAGGCCACTGACCCCAAACTGCCTGCCAGGGTTCTATTCCCACTGGGGGTGCCAGCCACCCCCAGTGAGGAGGCCCTTCTCCCAGCCTGGCCCCAACATGAAAGCAACGTGCCAGCGACCGGAGGCAATTTGCAGGCCTTTGATGGCCCGTGTCAGGGCGACACCGCAGCCGGTCTTGGGAAATGCTGCACGGAGCTGGCCTCGAGCATTCTTCCCTGATTACCCGGCCTGAGCCAGGACCCAGGCTGCCTTTGGCCCATTGTGCCTTTGTGTGGGGTTGCTGGCCAGCCGCTGAGAAAGGGCCCGCCTGGCCCTGGGAGAGTGTCCCCAGGGAGGCCAGGGTGGCCATGTTGCCCCAAGGTCATGGCTGCCCATCCCCCGCATCCTGGGGTCTAGGCTCCAAGGATCCTAAGATGAGGACAGTGTCGCACTCTGGGGACCCCTGGTGTTCCAGTACCACTCAAGTGCAGACAGGCACCTACTGTCCTTTGCCCTGCTGCTCTGCACTTCTTGGTGTGGTTACACTCAGGTGGGATGTGTGTACATGTATTCCCTGTCCCCACTGTATTCCCTGTCCCCTGCCTGGGCCCGAAAGCAACCCTTCCAAGATGCTAGCTTTTGGGCTCAAAGATAGTCCAGGAAAGCACTGTGGGCCAGCCTTGATGGGAACAGCATGGCTGGGGAACTGGAAGGGAGGCCAGGGCCCATGTGACCCTAATATTGTGCACCCTGCAGGGATGAGAGCATTTCCTGGGTCTGTGCCACCTGTTACCACTTACAATACACACAACTGCAGAGCCAGCCTGCCCTCTGCCTAGCCATGTCCTTCCAGGCAGTCCACAGAGGTGCAGGTGCAGGGACACTGGCCCAGCGATGCTGTGAGCCAAGTGGTGGCTCTGAGACCCTAACTGGCCCCTCTGCTGTTCACCTTGGCCCCTTCTCTCCTGTTCCCAAAGTGCCATGGACTGAGCCATCTCCAATGTGGGGCCCAGGCAGGCAATGGAGCAGGCACCAGGACCATGCCAGTAGGGCCTCAGAGACAACTTCTGTGAGTAACTGGATCACAGCAAGAAGTTGAAGACATGCAGAGGAGTAGAAGAAAAGGAAAAGGAGCTTGTAACCCACTCCCAAGCCCAGCAACTGGATATATGGTGTCCCAGTCCTCTTACTCTACTAGGAGCTGTAGGGGCACTTGTGAAGCTGCGTTTCTGAATTCCCTGCAAATGTCTTCCTTTGTGCCACCCTCATGCTTATGAGGTGTTGTATTTACTCCTACAAAACATCATCTTCCAATAGCAAGTGCACCTGGTTTCATCCTGTTTCCCCGTGGTCATGGAGCCCCTCTGTGACTCCACAGACCTGTGGTCAGTGCAGGGATTGAGGTCCTGCTGCCTCCATCACCCAGTGCAGCTCCTGCACAGCCACACCGCCCAGTGAGCTCTTACGTTCCTCTGTCCTGGCCCTGAGCTCTGGCTGTGGGAACCAAGGGCCTCCTTGCTGTGTATGCTGTGGGGCTTCTGTATATAAGAGGCCTATTCCCAGCAGGGCTTTCTCAATTCCTACTGGGGCCCTTCACAGGATTGTTGCACAGGCTCTTCTCAAATACTTGCCTCTGGGTTCCCTGCAGCCTGCAGGGTCCCAACTGGGAGTGTCCTCTGAGGACCTACAAGCCATGGGTTATTTGGGTGTTGGATGACAGCAGCAAGTGACCAGACAGGAATGCCTATGGCAGAGTGTGGTAGAAAGGCCCAGGAACTATAGGGACAAATAGTTCAGGGTTGGGAGACCAGGAAGCATTGAGGTACAACTACAAAGTGGGTGACAAGCCTCTGAAAGGTGATTTTGGGACTTGACAAGCATGAGCCATGGGGACATCTGGGGTAATTCGGGAGGCTGTGGGGATGGGCACCATCACCATTCCTTGATGCAAGGGGGCCCATGAGAACTCAAGGGGATGGCAGAGTGGGTGCCAGGTGCATAGGCATTCTGCACTCAGCTCAGGGCACGTGCTCTGATAGAGCCCGGCACACAGGCGCCTCACGAGTCTGGCACTCAGGTACCCTTTGCCTCAGTCTCTGCAGAGGTCCCTGTCATCTGGCCTTGGGTCAAATGTTCCTTCAAAGCAACCACCCCACCCAGGACAAGTGGGGCCAGTTCCTGAGCACTGCACTATCTGACCATCTCACCGGCTGTTTACTGTCTGCCCTTCTCAGACTGGTAAATGCCATGGGAGCTGGGCCAGGCAGAGCTCCACATGGTGTATACCGTCGTCCCACAGTCTACCCAGAGTGTCCCCAGGGAAGATCCAAGCAGCTTGGCAAAGCCCTTCCTCTTGACTCTGTTGGGCACTTCCCTCCACTTGCCACCTTGCTGAGGCAAAAGACCACCAAGGAAACAGAGTAGCTCCTGATGACACTTCCACAAATCCCAGCACTAGTGGCTGGTCACCTGCTGGGGAGGCTCGCAGGAGCTGCTTCCTGGCCACGCACAGAGCAGAACTGAGCACCACAGCAGAAGGATTAGCTGGCCCCATCCTCACCAGGGCCAGACAGATTTTCTGGCTTGGCCTTCTCGGCGTTCAAGCTGTGCTGTGTAACAAGAGCCAGCGTGGCCAAGCGAGAGGGGCCAAGATTGGGACACGCCTGTCTCCCCAGCTGGTGCAGACGCCGGGGAGCCCCATGTCTTCTCAGCCATCAGACCTCCTGGCACCAGAGGGAGATGGCCACCCATGCCATTGGTTGGGTTCTGGTGCCAGCCACCTTCTCTGTTTGCGGAAGGAAGGCCAGGGCTCAGATTCACAGGCACAGATACCTGCCGGCCTGGAGCTACTCAAGGGTACCGGCCAAGCCCTCCCACGTTCCACACCCAACACTCCAACCAGAGGGACCAGCCAGGCACGGTGCCTGCAGACCCATTGCACTCAGCTTGTGCCCCCTGGGGGACAGATCCCTCATGGTTGACAGCAGCCACCTGTCCCCAAGCTTCCAGGGAGCCAGGGTCTGAGAGAACTGACAGTCTTGCTTCCACCTGCTGGAGGAAGACCAGCCCTTCGTGCCTGTACTCCTCCTTGCCACTTTTCTAAATGGCTGTAGCTACAGAGTCCCCATGACAAATCCTCATCAGAACCAACATTAGAAACCCATTCCTAGGATGTCTATCCCCCACTCCTATGGAGCTTCCTGACGTGTACCATTGCACAGTGCCTGGTCTGCTCACATAGCAGGGCTCAGGGCTGATGTGGGAGGCATGCAGCCTCCTCTCCTACAGCCTCAGGGGTGCCCCTCCCCTGCAGATAGCCCACATAGCAGAGCATCCTAAAGTTCAGCCAGGTACAGGACAGGCACCATCTCTAAGGCCAGTCCATAAAGCAGAGGGGTCAGTCACCAGGGCCTGGGAAAGGTAGGAATGTGGAAGATGTTGGCCATAGGGGACAAAGATCCCACAGGATAAAGGGAATAAGGTCAGGCAGTCTGTGAGCAGCATGGTGGCTATCATGGGTGACAATGTATAAAACGGACTGAAGGTCACTAGTAGAACTGTTAAATATTCTTATCAAGAAAATAAGTGTAAAATGACAGGGCTGTTAGTTAGCTTGATTTAATCATTGTCTATGGTGTATAGACATCAGAACATCATGGTATAGGGCCAGTGAGATAGCTCAGCAGTCTAAACCACCTGCTTAGGCAAGCTTAGGTAGGCACAGGCAACCGGGTTCAATTCCTAGCACCACATACTGCACCAGCCCCACCCTCAGGGCAAGCAGAGCTGGCAAAAAAAAAAAAAAAAAAAAACCATGGTATATACCATGAATATGGACCTTTAATCAAATTATATAAAAATGAAGCCCAGACTAGGCTCTTGGTGGCCCCAAAGTGAGCGATGATGGAATTTCTTTTTACAGAAAGAATGGTCTTTTTGCAAAAAGAATGATATGCAGGCAAGGAAGACTGTGTGAGAGGCTATAAGGAGCCCAGGAACATCCAGGCCAGGGGCATGAGGTGGGCACGCGGCAAGACATCCACAGGATACAAACATGAGCTGGGAGGGCACCAGCGTCCACCAGAGCCAGAGAGCCATGATCAACACCTGCGGCCCTCTCTTCCTGCTCTCTGACCCAACCAGAAGCCAGAGTATGTGGGATCTGCCTGTGCCCAGCCAGAGTGGGCCACCACCTCAGCACACAGAAAGGTGGAGTGTGCCTCTCCAAGGACAGTTAGAGGGTGCCCAGCCCAGGGTCTCGAAAGCTGGGTGTGGGGGAGCAGGCCCAGCGAGGCCTGGCATCGGCAGGTGGGAGTCACATGGTACCCCACGCTGGGTGACCAGGCAGTTGCAGAGAGCCAGGTGTAGGGTTGAGGTGGACCGCACGGGACCCAGCCCTCCAGCCAGCTAGTGGGTATAGAGAGACGCCAAGCTGAGTTATGCTAAGAGGGTGGGAGGTAGAAGCGGGCCAGTAAGGTGCCCGTGCAAGAGACAGGTGCGTGCATGGCAAGTGACAGCATCTCCTCCATCCCCTGCAGGTGGCCTCAGTCCTGAGTCCAAGAAGATCCTGCCAACAGCAATCAAGAAGCGGGGCCGGGCAGGCCACGGGGAGGCGGCCAAGCAGGAGGAAGGCCCTGAGCGCACTGAGCCTGCCCAGCATGTGGGGCTCAGCCTGTCGTTCAAGCGCTACGTCTTTGACACCCACAAGCGCATGGTGCAGTCTCCCTGAGGGACCTCATGATCCGCTTGAGCTGCAGTGCCTGGTACATGCCTCAGCTTCCCCAGTGTCTCCCCACAGTCCTGCCCTGCCACCCAGACTTCCTTCACAGCCACAGTGACAAGTCCAGGGTAGTGGGGACAGTGCCAAGAGGGCCTGCATCCCTCTGGGGTGACAGCCAGGACTGGCTGGGAAGGGGCCAAGGCTAGACAGCCACCAGCCCTCCTCATGCCCAGCCTCAGCCCTGCCCAAGTGGAGAGCCCTTAGTGCCTGTAAATAAATGCCCCATGGCCCCAGCCCTCTGCCGATTTCTGTGTGTCTGTGTCACAGGCCCCAGGTCTGCTTTGAGGAGCCCAAGGATTGTGGTGTCTCCTGGGCCTTGAGAAAGGGGCAACTGTGTGGGAGCCAATGGGGATGTCTCTATGGCCTGAGCTGGATTTAGGGAAGTAGGTGCAGGGGCTTTTCCATCCTGACCCCAGAGGCCCCTAGGCCTTAAGTTCAGGCACACACATCCGCCTGAGTGTGGAGAGGCAGGCACAACCCTGCCTGTGTCCTCTGCAACTGCCCAGGGCCCACTGTCTCAGGGATCGCAGAGATGATGAGGTAAACCACTCAGCTGAGGGGAAACCAAAGCTTGCAAGACACTTCGGGGTGAACAGATGCTTGTGCGTGCCTTTATTTGGCCTCCAGACTGACATGGAGGCTTCCCTTTTATCCCAGTAATCAGTGCATTATGTTTTAATTTGTAAAAATGGCATTAAAAATTATTAACTGGGGTAGGTTGTGATCAAATAACTTGGGGCTGTTAAGCCCCGGAGCTGAGGGCAGAAGGAAAGGGAGCATGGAACACAGTGTCCCCATGCACAGTGGCCAGGCAGCCCCTAATTAAATGCAGCCAAGCCCCTCACTGCAGGGAGGCCAGCAGTGGCAGCCGGCCCAGCCACCTGGCATCTGCATTGGCCAGGACCCAGGCAATGGGTAGGCACTGGGAGCCAGAGGGTGGCCAGGCTGGGCTCTGCAGCCAGGCCACAAGGACCAGGCCCTGCCCCCTGCCCACTAGGGGCCTGATGTGCCCTACTTGTGCCAGCTGGAGTGAGCCCAGAGGAGCAGGGTGTGTCCTATGTGGACCACCACTGTGCCTGCTGCTTTGCAGGCAGCAGTTTCCAGCCTGGCTTGGCCCTCCATGGGCCAGGCTGGGTCTCCACCTAGGACTGCTCTGCTTCTGCCCAAGTGCACAGGCTGCATGCAAGGTGCTGCACCCCTCTGATTTGGCCCTACCTGGCCCGGCAGGCTGTCCCCTGAGAGGCAGTACAGCTGCAGTGCCATCGTGAGCTGGAGCCAGCCTGTCCCTACCAGGCTCCTCTGCCCACACCTTTCAGCCGGCCGGCTGCCCCAAGGGACAGCAGCCTAGTGGGGGCAGGCTGGATCCTGGACAGGGCTTCTGGACAGCTTATCCTGGCAGAGGATGACATCCCTTAGCTTAGTCAGCTCCCAGGGGACAGAAGGCGACCAGCTTCCTCCAGCGAGATGAGCTGGTTCTGAACCCAGCACCAGGGCTTCTCAGGAAGGGGCTGAGCAGAGCATCACCTCCCTGATCAAGGGCCTTGAGGCCAGCCCTTCCCTTCTGTCCCTTCTCAGGATCCTCACAAGCTGGGATGAGTCCCCTGGGCCTAGCTGCAGGTCCTGTCCTGTGTTCAACGGGTGAACCTGGGTGAGTTCCTGAGCCCTGTGTTTCAGTATCCTGCTGTGAAATGGGGAGAAGAGCAACAGCTACTGTATAGGGTTGCTCCAGGGCAGGGACTTATCTGGGCAAAGGCTGGCTGTGCCATTCCCTGAAGCTTGGAGCAGACCAGTACCCATCACCCTTCTGCAGTGGGCCTCAGGCCATGAGGGGCAGCACAGCCTGTGTGGCTCTGCACCCATCTCACTAGAGTGTCTGCATGGTGACACCAGCCTCCCAGTCCCACCTGAAGCTCCAGGAGGAGGAAAGCTTCAGGAAGGGCATATGGAAGAGTGGGGACCCCCACACCTGTGCTGGGGCAGCCAAGGTGGGATGCCCGAAACCCCTAGGCCCACAAGAGGACAGCAAGACTGGGAACAAACAGGGACTGTCCCATGAGAAGCCCCTATCATGCTTGCATTAGCAGAAACTGGAGCACCCATTACTAGGGTCAGGCAAGGTGTGCAGCCTTCTCAGGACACAGCCCAGGTGGGGACAGCGGTGGGAGGGGCAGCCCATCCCAGCTGGGGCTGCCATGCACGCATACATGTCCCCTCCCAGCTCCCACACTTCAGGTGAAATTTGGGCCCATCCACACAGATGAGGCTGTGCCCATCCTCCCTCAGGGCTGTGGGGGCTGCACCTAATGCCTCAGGCAAGAGTGGGATTGAAACCCAGGCTCCAGGATCCTCAGAGTCCCACCTAGCAACTTGAAGTGTCTTTGTGGCACTGCTTGGGGTACAGGGCACAGTGCCCCACTCCTTTCCTGCCCACCAAAATGGAGTCACTGAGGTGGGCTGGGGCCAGGCTGTGATTGGCAGGCAGAGACTGGCCTGAGGCTACTGCACTGTGGGAAGATAAAGCTTATCTGGAAATGTCTCTGGAATCGAGACTGATGGGAACGGCCTTCTAGGTTAATATAGTTTCCACAGATAACACCAGGGAGCCCTGCGGCCACCTGGGCAGGGTAAAGGGCAGCTTCTGTCCTCCCTTGCCCTGCTGTCTGTATTCATCCCTGTGCAGGTGTCCCTAAATCCATGTCCACAGGCAGTGCAAGTGCCCATGTCCTGGCTGTCACCATGAGAGGACCCAGTACACACAGGTGGCACTCAGGTTGGGGGCATCATCTGCAGGACCTGAGGAAAAGGAGGTGGGGTCATCACCCCATGTGAGATGGACATGCCAGCACCCAGGGCCTTTGGCTAGCTAGGTAAGCTCTCCCTGGTACCCATGGTGGTCCAGGTCCCTGCTCTCTGACCCAACAGTGTCCATGTGGGTCTTGCATTCCTAGGTGCTAGCCCCGCCTCCCCCATTCCTGGTTCAGCCTCATTTATCCTCTGCTGCCCACTAGGGTGAGGGAGAGCCTCTCACTGGGGCCACCTAGATGAGGTCTTCAAGAGAGTAGGCGCTCACTGGGGGACAAAGGCAGACCTGGAGGAGGAAGAACAGGCACAGTGTGGCATGTGGAGCCTGCCTCCCATGGAGGCTCCTTCCTCTTTCCTCCAGTGCTGCCCCCACCCCTAGCCTGATTAGGAAAAATAATTAGTGTGAAAGCTGATAACAGAGTGAGCTATTAATTGGCCCAGCGCAGGCAGCAGACTTGTTGGGAGTGTCAGAACGTTGGGCCCAAGGGGGCCAACATGTCTCCCCTAGGGTGAGCACCACAGAAAGGGGCAGGCTGTGGGTTGGGGGACCCCTGGATGGGTGCTGCTGACCAGATGTGTGAGAGCAAAGAGGGGCCCACTAGGCAGACAGGAGCTAGGAGAGGAGACTTCTGAAGGTTGCAGACCAGGTGTGTGGGGACACCGCGAAGTGGGGACAGATTGGGAAGAGGCTTTGGATGTGCCCCCTTCAGTGATAGAGGCCACCTCTGTGCTGGCCAGTGGTAGGGTAGCCTGGACCCCATCCCCCAGGCCACAGGTCCAAGGTCACATGGCCCTGCATGCCCCATGGGGTGTTGCTCAACCCTCCACGCTGCCCCACCTTATCACGGCCCCACGGGACACAGCGCCGCAGAAACGGCCACTTCCCGTGGCCACAGCTGGGGCCCCAGATAAAGGCCTCCTGGAGCCTGGCCTGGGCTGGGGTGCTAGGCCAGAGTCGTCCCCCACCTCACCCCCAGGGACACTGCTAAGCTCAGCCTCCCCATCTGCCAGGCCACTGGGCCACCCAGGGACCACAGGGGAGGAGGCTCTGGTCTGAGGAGCCCCCATGAGCCCCCAGGGGCTAGGGCACCTGTAGCTAGCACCACATGGGTTGTCACAGCACAAGGGCCATGGATGGAGGCTACCTGGGCCCAGAGAGGTTCCCACGGCATCTGGGTGCCACTTCCTCCGTCCCCTCTTAGCTCCCTCAGCTGAGATCCGAGGTGCAGCTTCCCTGGGCTGGACCCCTGCCTGGAGCAGGACAAGGTATCTGGGGAGGGGTGAGGGTGTCACTGCTCCCTAGGGCCAGGTCCCTGTGGGGTCCCTTCCACCTCCCTCAAAGCCAGGGCACTGTCCTCTGTCCACACTGACACTTCCTGGCCTCCCACTGTGAGCCAGAGGGACCAACAAAGATGGGTCCCTTCTAGATCTGGGATCTAGAAGCCAGGAAGGGCCAAACCCATGGAGGGTCGAAAACCCCAACACACTTGGCCTCAGGACAAAGGTAGCACTGCAGTGCACAGCATTCCCTGTGCCAAGACGCCCTACGTTACAGGGCTCCATGCCACTTGTGTATACTCTGTGCCCAAGAGTCATACCACAATCACCCTGTGACTGTCATGCCCTGACCTCACTTCCTCCATCTTCACCTCAGTGTCCCCATGCGCACACCTCAACCTCACCTGATCTCTTCCATCCTCCACTCCTCCATCCTAGCCTCATCTCCTCCATCCTGACTTCTGTCCTTACATCACCTCTTTCACTCGATGCTATCCCTGACTTCACCACCATCGCTGGCTTTGATGTCATTGTGACCACCACCTCCCCTGCTATCCCAGCTTCCTCGCTGCCATCATTTTCACATCACTAGCCTGTCCCACAATGTGTTCCTACCCCTGACCCAAGGTTCTACTTCGCTATTTGTGGAGGACCTGCTGTCCCTATAGGGCACTGTGTCGCAGAAGGATCTCCAAGCCAGGTCCTCACCGTGCCATGTCATGGAGCATGGGTGGGGTCCAGGCTGAGAATGAGTGGGAGGAGGCTGGGTCAGGCATATCTGGCCCAGGAGCTCTGTCCCAAGGCACCCAGGGGACACCGAGGAGCCTTGGGTCCCGAGCACTGGGGTTCCTGCTCAGCTTGGGGTGGCCGTGGGCTGGGCTCAGAGTTCTGCATTCCATGTGAAGCTGGAATAGGAGCTTTGAGGAAGACAGCAGGGCTGGCACCTCAACATGGTCCTCTGCATGTAGGCACAAGTGGGCTGGCACCTCTGTGCCCACAGAGGGTGGGGCAGGGCCCACACAAGGCTCCATGGCAGGGAGTTCCCAGGGATCTGGGGTGCTTGAGGTCCCCCTTGAGATCCCCCAGGCCACCATTTCAGGCCTCACGAGGAGGGCAGGCTCCCATGGGCAGGGCCAGCACCCCTGGATGTCTATG